GTGCGCGGAACATGGCAGGCATCAGCCGCGGCGGGATGGTGGAGCAGGTGAGCGGGGGAGCCAGACCAAGGTAGGGTGCCAGTCGCTGTCATTGGGGCAAGCCTCTGGTGGTTACTGAAAATTCGCTGTTCCCACACGCCAGGGTTCCACCAGGCGCTTCCACCTGCTGCTGGCGCCAGCCCTGCTCACATCCGCTGCCGGTGCCTGGCGCCGGCCCTGATTGCTCAGCACTGTCAGCGGGTACAAGCAGCAGCTGCCAGAACCTATCGTCCCTCAAGGGTTTCTCCACCTCCCCCTGCTCCTGAGGGTTGATTGGGGCCAGCAGCTGCCACTGGCACCCACTGCCAGTGCCGGCCCCGCTCACACCCATAGCTGGCTCCAGAGCTGCCACTCACACCCGCTGCCGGCGCTCAGCACCGGTCCCGATTGCTTGGCACCGTCAGCGGGTGCGAGCAGCGGCTGCCAGCCCCAACTGCCCCTGAGGGATTTTCCATCTCCCCCTGCTCCTGAGGGGCGATCAGGGCAGCAGTCACTGATGGCGCCGGACCCCAATTGCTTCGCACCATCAGCGGTGCGAACGGGGCTGGTGCCATCAGCACGTGGGAGTGGCGGTGGCAGGAGCAGGGCTTCCAGCAGACAGGGGACCAGGGGCCACGGCTGGAGGGGCCGGGTGGGGGTGCAGAGGATGGGCCGAGACCCACCCCTGTGCCCACCGCAGCCTTGGGGCCTACAGTTCCTTTCAAGGTGCATGAATTTGTGCACTGGGTCCCTAGTCATCAATAAATGAACAAACAAGTTTGTTCTTTGCAAGGATGTGCACTGGTGGTGGAAATGCAGATTTGTGCAGTCACTATGGAAAACAGTATGGTTGGTCCTCAAAAATTTAAAAACAGAACTACTTATGACTCAGTATTCCCACTTTGGGGTATATATCTGAAGAAACACAAAACACAAATTTGAGAGACTATATGTACCCCTATATTCATTGTACAATAGCCAAGATATTGAGGCAACCCAAGTGCCCATCAATAGATAAGTGGATAAAAATGTTGTAGTTCATCTTATTTAAAAATATTTTTATTGATTTCAGAGGGAAGGAAGAGGGAGAGAGAGATAGAGACATCAATGATGAGAGAGAATCATTGTTCTGCTGCCTCCTGTACCCACCCCCCCACTGGGGATGGAGCCCGCAAACCAGGCATGTGTCCTTGAGCAGAATCGAACCTGGGACCCTTCAGTCTGCAAACCGATGCTCTATCCACTGGCTAGGACTGTAGTTCATTTTTACAATAGAATATTACTTGACCATAAAAAAGGATGAAATCTGGAACAGAATGGATGGACCTAGGGGTTATTATGCTAAGTGAAATAAGTCAGTCAGAGCAAGACAAATACCACATGATTTCACCTACTTGTGAACAAAATAAGTGAATAAACAAAACAGAAACAGACTCGTAGACACAGAGAACAGACTGATAGCTGCCAGAGGTGAGGGGCATTGGGGACTGAGTAAAAAAAAGGGAAGGAATTATGAAGTACAAATTGGTAGTTACAAAATAGTCATGGGGATGTAAAATACGGTGTAGGGAAAATAGTCAATAATATTGTAATAACTGCATGGTGCTGGGTGGGTACTAGAAATATACTTTTCTTTGTAAAGTATATGATTGTCTAACCACTATGCTATACACCTGAAACTAATACAAAATAATATTAAGTGTAAATTGTAATTTAGAAATAAACATTTAAAAATAATAGGTATAACAGATGGAGAAGAGAAGGAGAAAGGAACAGAGTGCCTATTCAAACAAATAATTGACAAAAACTCACCAAAACTATGGAAAGAACTGAACCTCAAGACAAAGAAGCTAACAGAACATCTAATTATCACAATATAAAAAGGCCTTCTGCAAGGCACATTATAGTAAAGCTGTCAAAAATTAATGACAAAGAAAGAATTCTCAAGGCAGCCAGAGAAAAGAAGATGGACACCTATAAAGGAAACCCCATTAGATTATCATCAAATTTTTCAGCAGAAACTCTACAAGCTAGGAGAGAGTGGAATCAAATATTCAAAATATTGAAAGAGAAATCACCAGCCAAGAAAAAGATAGCTAGCAAATTTATCTTTTAGATCTGAAGGAGAAATAAAGACTTTCCCAGACAAACAGAAGCTGAGGGAATTTACCTGCATTACAAGTAATGCTGAAAGGTGCTCTTTTACCTGAAATAAAAAGACAGAAGGACACAAAACTGTAAGATGACTAACAGACAGAAGCAGGAAATTGCAACTCTTGTTCATAATAGGGTATTAAGCACTGAAATATAAAATAAAGGTTAAAAGAGGTAAAAGTATTAAAATAAAGAGAGGACAATTACTACTGCAATTTGGAAATAAATGCACAGCATAAGAAGGGATAACTTATGGTAATAAAAACATAAAAGGGGGGACACTGAACTTGTACAGGTGCAATCAGAATAAAAATAACTATTGTACATATGAAACGTTTTTTAATAAACCTAATGGTAACCACAAAAATAAAATCTAGAACTAAGACACATAACATTAGCCAAACCGGTTTGGCTCAGTGGATATAGCGTCGGCCTGTGGACTGAAGGGTCCCAGGTTCGATTCCAGTCAAGGGCATGTACCTTGGTTGCGGGCACATCCCCACTGGGGGGTGTGCAGAAGGCAGCTGATCGATCTCTCTCATCGATGTTTCTAACTCTCTATCCCTCTCCCTTCCTCTCTGTAAAAAATCAATAAAATATATTTTTTTTTAAAAAAGACACATAACATTAAAGAAATAAAAAGAGGAAACGGAGGGGAAAAAATCATACAACATTACCAAACTAAAATTATAGACAGAAACACAAAGGAAAAGAAACAATGGAGACACTGAGCTACCAGGAAAAAAAAGACAAAATGGCTACAGGAAATCCTCTTATATTAATAATCACCCTAAATTTATATGGGCTGAACTCACCATTAAAAGGCACAGAGTAGCAGATTGGATTTTAAAAACACACAAAAAATCCAACTATATGCTGCCTTCAAGAGACCCATCTCAGCTACAAAGTCTAACATAGACTCAAAGTGAAGGTTTGAAAATGATTCTCCAAGCAAATGGCATCCAGAGAAAAGCAGATGTAGCCATATTTATATCAGACAAAATAGATCTCAAGATAAAAAAGGTAACAAGAGACAAAGATGGACATTTTATAATAATAAAGGGGACAATATATCAAGAAGACATAACACTTATTAATATATATGCACTCAACCCAAGAGCACCAAAATATATAAAGCAATTACTAACAGAACTTAAAGGAAGAAACTGACAAAAATACAATTATAGTAGGGAAGCTAAATACACCATTGACAGCAATAAATGCATCATTCAAACATAAAATCAATAAAGAAATATCAGCCCAGCCAGCATAGCTCAGTGGTTGAGCATGGGTTTGATTCCCAGTCAGGGCACATGCCCAGGTTACAGGTTTGATCCCCTGTGAGGGGGTGCAGGAGGCAGCCGATCAATCAATCTCTCTCATCATTGAGAAGAAATAAGAGATCAAAAGATACATAGAGAAAAATAAGAAAGACATTACAACATATCAAAGTCTTTGAGATGCAGCAAAAGCAGTAATAAGAGGAAAGTTTACAGGTTTACTTCAATTAACAACAAAAATCTTTTAAAAATAACCTGACATTTGAACCAAAGCTCAAAGTCAGTAGACGGAAGAAAAAAATAAAAATCAGAGCAGAATTAAAATGGAAAACAGAGCCCAGCTGGCGTGGCTCAGTGGTTGAGCATTGACCTATGAACCAGGAGGTCACGGATCTATTCCTGGTGAGGGCATATGCCCAGGTTGTGGGCTTGATCCCCAGTGTGGAGTGTGCAGGAGCCAGCTGATCAATGTTTCTCTCTCATCATTAATGTTTCTATCCGTCTCTCCCTCTCCCTTCCTCTCTGAAATCAATAAATAAATAAAAAAAAGAAATATATATATATATATATTTTTAATCCTCACTTGAGGATATTTTTCCATTTTTAGAGAGAGTGGAAGAGAGAGAAAGACAGAGAAATATCGATGTGTTCGGGAACATATCGATTGGTTGCTTCCTGCACAAGCCCCAACCAGGGCCTGGGCTGGGGAGGAGCCTGCAACTGAGGTACGTGCCCTTGACCATAATCAAACCTGGGACCCTTTGGTCCGCAGGCCGACGCTCTAGCTACTGAGCCAAACTGGCTAGGGCTAAAAATATATTTTAAAAAAATTTTTAAGGTTTCTGGGGTGGGACCCTTTGAGTGATGAGAGTGGGATGGAGGCCAGAGCAGAGGCTGTGGAACAGGTGTACAAGGACATTGTGGATCTTTTCTTAGTGTGGGTTTCTCCAGAAGCAGATGCTGAGGCAAAGATTTGAGATTATTTGGAAAAGGCAAACATTGGTAGGGGAGGCAGGAGTAACACAGAAAAGGGAAAGTAGCCAAGAAACGGTAAGTTATTAAGCCAGAACCTCTGTAGGGACCTGGGGCTTATTATTCTGTTGGGGAACTTTGAGAGCCAGGTACAACACACACTTGAGTTGTCCCAACAGAGAGGTGAGGGACCTGGAGTATTTATATACCGTCACTGGTTGAGGGCCGTTAGAGTGGGAAGTTGCATGTACTCCCTGGCACTGAAGGCTTGCCATGTTCATATCTGGGACATAGCAGGCACCAGGGGTCGGAGAATGCCCAGATAAAGCTTCATGTGCTGGCACTGGTACTCAAACCACCATGTATTGATAGGGGGAGGGAGACGAGATATGGACTTAGCACCCACAGTACCTGCTACATGCTGCCACCCAGGCACATTCACCCAAACACTACTTCTCAGCCAGGCACCACAGCCACTCCCCAACACCAATGCCTCCAGAGATTAGATGACAACAATTCTAGTCCAAATTGAGTTTAAATCTGTTTTTATTGATTTTTAGAGAGGGAGATAGAAACATCAATGAGAAACATCATTGATTGGCTGCCTCCTACAGGCCCTCTACTGAGAACCCTGACCAGGAATCAAACTGGTGACCTCTTGGTTCACAGGTCAAAGCTCAATCACTGAGCCATACTAGCCGGGCCCAAATTGAGTTTAATAGGGAATTTCATAAAGAGATTCACTGGAAATGCAAAGGTCCGAGATAGGGGCTTGGGTGAGTTCTGAATTAGAAAGCAGTAGGACCTAGGGTTAAAGACCTGAAGAGGTTGGGGGTTCATCTTAAGAACTCTATTGGGGTGATACTTGGAGCTGTTTTGGGATGCCCCAAGTATCATGTAGGGGAATTGCATCTCAGGTTCCAGGTGTGAAGAGCTAAGTGAGGATAGGGGTAGGGGTTCAGGGTGTTTCACAGAAACAATCAAGGGGCCTCGATTTCACAGAAATCATCAAGGGGGCTCCTTGTGGGTGGGAGAGGGATAGTACATCACCCCAAATATTGGGGACTGTTTACCCCCACCACAGCAGCCACTTTGAGGTTTTAATGTAAGACCCCAATGGCAGGACATTCCACATACATTATCATGGATTTGCAACATTAGCATACGCTGGCTGTCCCACAGGACGGTGGGGACTGGAAAATCAGTCCAGGTTCTGGGTTTTGAGTCCTAAGAGGACAGGCCTGGGGGTGCCACGCGGCTCCTCTTCAATAGCTGCCGGAGCTGTGAACAAGACAAGGCAGAGAGAGATGTCTTGGAGGTCGCAAGGAGAGGTGGGGGAGGCATAGCTGGTGAAGTTGGAGGTTAAAGAAGGAAAGTTGAGTGGAGTCAGTTGGGTTTGAAGATCAGAGGTTCAGAGTCAAGATTTGGAATTGAGAGTGAAAAGGCTCAGAGCCAGAACTGGGGATGAAGGGAAGCTGTTGCTGGTTGGGAGTTCCCTCCTTTGGGTTTGCATTGAGGGCTGGGAGTTGAAGGGTAGAGACATGGGGCCAGAGGTCCCATTTGGGGGTCAGGAGTCCCATTTTGAGATTAGGACTCAGGGTTATGGGCAAGGGATTGGAGGCCATACTTGAGGATCAAAGGTCGTTCCCTGAGGTCAGGATTCAGGGTTGGAAGTAGAGGTCATATGTTGAGGTCAGGGTTTAAGTAGAGGTCAAGAGGAGTCACCATTACAAGGTAAGGAATCAAAACCTGGGGTAAGAGGTGACATTTTGAAGTCAGGGTTTGTTCAGGTGACCTTCTGAGATTACCTCTAAGGTCAGGAATGTGTAGGGTCAGGGGTTCACCCAGTTAGGTCAGAGGTCACTCAATGCTCACCCCTTCAGGGCCCGGCCCAGGCCGCAACAAGTGGATGGGCTGCTCATTCTCCAGGTTTCGCAATGCTGGATCTGCCCCGGCTGCCAGCAGGTGGCGCACTATGGCCTCCTGGTGTGGCCCAGGAGGCAGGGCAGCTGCCATGTGGAGGGCTGTGTTCCCATGGGCCTGGGGACAATGAGGGGAGGACTGATAAGGATTCAGACTCAGCCAACCTGAGCCCTCAGCACCACACTTCATATTCTGCCACATCCACAGCACAGCACAGATTTCTCACTTCACAGAGACATCCCATACACCCCTTTCACATTCCAGAACCTCCCTCCACAACCACATTACACACACCCCTCTGTCTATGTACTATGCATCATCTCAGTCTACGTCACAACCTGTATAGTCCCCATCCAGGTCCCATACAATGTCCCCTCTACGGTCACAGCCCATAGGAACCCCAACATCCCACTGCTCTCTCTGCCATATCTCTCATAATCTCCACATTCTAGCCTAGGACCCTACCTTCATGTTGACAAAGGCCCTCAGGTCTCCCTGTGGCAGCTCCAGCAGCAGCTGAACTAGGACGGTGTTGGCAGCCTGCACAGCCAAATGCAGAACAGTCTTGTTGCTCTTGATCTCCTGTGGGGAGGGGTATAGCAGAGGTCAGGCCAGTCCTCACACCCAGGCCTCCTGTCAGAGCCCAAGAGCCTGTAGAGACCCTGCCTCTCCTTTGTAAGTACCCAGGGGTGCCTTATACAGTTGTATGGACTGCGCACTATACAAAAGTTTAAGGGAGTGCCATTCACATCACACAAATCACAGAACTTTACATTTATTAAGATAATTTTCCAGCCCAAGTGTCTAAGAAAAAGGCTTCTTTCTAATCCTCCAAGGTGTTCTCTGGGCTAGCAGCTGCCTTGGCCACCCAACATTCTATTAAGCATAGTAAATTGTACCTACATCCTATATGGGTGGTACTTTATCTATTACAAGGATGGGAGTTGAGCAACATTACTTAGTGGACTAAACTAAGCCTGTATCCATTTCCATATTAAGCTGTTCTCACATTTTGGAGTAAAGTAAGCCATTTTCCACAATGAAACTTTAATATGTGCCTTTAAAGAGTTTATAATAATAAACATTAAAAATGTTAGGTGTTTATACAGGGCAAAACAACCTAGTTGGCTCACCAAATAAATTATGAAGAGAAAACAGAGATGGAGGGGGAAGCTCTATATTAAGAGTGACTTAAAAGATATATCATTGCTCCCTGGCTGGTGTGACTCAGTTGGTTGAGCATCTTCCTGTGTACCAAATGGTCACCAGTTCAATTCCCAGTGGGAGGCAACCAATCGATGTTTCTCTCTATCTTCCTTCCTCTCTCTAAAATCAATTTTAAAAATATTCAAACAAACATATGGCAATATGTGAGCTTTATTTGGATCTGTGGGGGGTTCTTTAAAGAAAAAAATAAATGTATGTCACTTTAGAGCCAAACAAAATTTGAATAAAGCTAGAATATTTGACATTATGAAATTATTCATTATTTTTTAAAAATATTTTTGATTTCTGCCCTAACCGGTTTGGCTCAGTGGATAGAGCGTCGGCCTGCAGACTCAAGGGTCCCAGGTTCGATTCCGGTCAAAGGCATGTACCTTGGTTGCGGGCACATCCCCAGGAGGGGGTGTGCAAGAGGCAGTTGATCGATGTTTCTCTCTCATCGATGTTTCTAACTCTCTATCCCTCTCCCTTCCTCTCTGTAAAAAATCAATAAAATATATTTTTTAAAAAAATAAAATAAAATAAAATATTTTTGATTTCAGAGAGGAAGGGAGAGGGAGAGATAGAAACATTAATGATGAGAATCATTGATTAGCTGCCTCCTGCACGCCCCCTACTGGGGATCGAGCCCGCAACCAATGCATATGCCCTTGACTGGAATCAAACCCTCAACCCTTCAGTCCACAGGCCGATGCTCTATCCACTGAGCCAAGCTGGCTAGGGCTTGTTCATTATTTTTAAGGTGGAATAATGATATTAAGGTTAAGGGTTATTTTAAAGACACACAAATATTTATGGATAAAATTATATGCTTGGATTTGCTTAAAAGTAATATAGCTAAGTGGAGGAATAGATGGGGCAGGACTGGCTATGAGTTGCTTGTTATTGATGTTTGCTTGGTACATGGAGTTCCTTATACTATTTTCTGTACTTTATCTGTGTTAAAATTTAACAAAAAAAAACAAAAGCGATATGTGGATGTTTAATTCTCTCAGCTAGCTCGTAAATATATAATAAAGAGCTCAATTCTGGGATCAGACTTCCTGGGTCTAATCTCCTCTCTGACACTCACAAGCTATAAGATTTTTGACATCTTGTGCTTCAGTCTCTTTACCAGTAAAACAGAGAAATAACAGCACATGCATCAAACGGTGTTTGTGAGAATTCAATACTCTATGAAACTCAGTGCTTGATAAATATAAGCTCAGGTCAACAATATTATTTCCAGTTGACAACTGGGGCACAAAGAAGTGAAGTAATGTGCTCCCGGACACGCAGCTGGGAAGAGGTAACATCAGTGTTTGTTTGGAGCCCCTGGGCATCCAGGTGCCCCCATCCCACAAGTCCTCCTAGGGACTGGCTTCCCGTAGCCCAGCTCACCTGGCTGGTGTGATCAGCACCCATATGCAGCAACATTTGGACGCAAGACAGCCGGTCTCGGGCCTGAATACTCAGCACCCGGGAACAGGGGTCGGGTGAGACCATAGCAACATTGAGAGCCAGGATGGCTGTATGGAGGGGGGTGAGTCCTGCAGAATGAAGATAGTGAGGGCTCTGCATCTGGAGCACCCACCCTGCCCAGCCCCACCTTCTGCACCTGCCCAACCCCACCTGCCACATCCGCCCTGCCCACAACCCAACTTACCCTCGAAGTCCCTGGCTTCCAAGTCAACCCGAACCCCTGAGTTAATCACAGCCTGGGAGGAAGAGAAGGAAGAGCTAGATTAGGGTCTCCCCAGGCCTCCCAGTCCTAGAAGCCAGAATCTGGGCAATCAATGACCCCATCTACCACAGCCATACCGAGAGGACTCCTGGGAGGCCATAGGTAGCAGCCACATGCAAGACAGAACGTCCCTGATGGTCAGTAGCATTAGGCTCAGCTCCCAGGTTCAATAGATCCTCCACAATCAGAGGCTGGTTGGCAGCAGCAGCCACCAGGAGAGGAGTCTGCAGGTGATAGGAGAAGTCAGACTGAGCCCCAGCCCCCTCGCAGGAATCCAGACCCCCAGACCCTCTGCCCTCAGATTCAGTAATCCAAGCCCCTGGCCTTCACCTTGCCCTTATGCTCACGAATGTCCAGATGTCTGTATGTTTGGAGCACCTCAGCTGCAGCATATGCTGCCCAACGCAGCCCCCGAGCTGCCAGCAGGTGCAGGAGCCTGAGGACAGGTGGGAACAGTAGTTAGTACAGATGGCCAGCCGGGCCATGAGCCCACAGACTCTATTCCCCTATACTCACGTGTCTCCCTCCTCGTCTTGGGCCAGCAGCCGCTGTGGCCCCAAGGCCAGCATTTGAGCACGGGCTGAGTCGAGGGATGGTCCAGTGACCAAAGAGGGTAACTGTGGGGGTCCTGAGGGGAGTCCAGAACCTTTCCAGGATCCCACCTGTGGCAGGGAAGGTTCTACATAAAGCTGGGTATCCAGGGGGTCCTGAAGGGTGCAGGTGGTGAGGAGAGTCAGTCAGCTGAGGAGTCCCTCTTCCCAACCCATCCCACCACACACATACATATTCAGAGTACCAGGTAAAGTGGCTGTGTGTCCCATCTGTGCCAAGTGAACTTAGACCTTTGGGCCTTAGTTTTGCCTATCTGAGGAATGGGATCTTAACCCAGCCCCAGACAACTCATAATGCTGCATGAAGGCAACTGGGAACTTTGGGGCCCTTCAGCATTCTGTTCCCACTCTGTATCTTACCTCCATCCCCAGGAGAAATGGATATGGCTGGCCTGGGTCCGAGAGTGGGCAGAAGTCAGAAGTCAGGAAACTTTCAGCAGCAGAAGTAGGATAAGAGTAGGCACTGTCTGTGTAGGCAGCAAGGGTGTTGGGGCTCCAGTCTGGAAAGCCTGTGGTGGGGGCCAGGCTGCCAAGTCCAGAACCCACAGCCTCCTGGTGGGCTGGGAAGTGAGTATGGCCTGCATGTGAGAGGAGGAGCAGGGGCGGGCCTGGTTACCAGAGTTAGGAAAGTCACAGCCAAGGCTGGAGGACCTGTGTGAGGGCCTGGAATCTCCCAAGGTACTGAAAGCTAGTACTTCTAGGATCTAGAATTCTGGGACACCAAGGGGTTGGAAGGTTGGACTTCTGGGACCCGGACTCCTAGGATGCTGAGGGGTTGAGGGTCTAGACTCCCAGAATACGAAAGGCTGGAGGTCCCTGGGCACCAAAGGACCATATGCATAGACTACTGGGCTGCAGAGAATCTCTGGAAGATCAAACTTCCACTGGGTCCTGGCAAGAATCAGGGCCTGACTCCTAACGTTCCCCAAGGTTCTAAGAGTGGGGATGTGAGTCCCAGAGGGAAGCTGGAGCTGGGAGCTAAAGGAACCAGGTGAGTTTCCAGACTTACCAACCTCACCCTCGTTCACAGATGGAGTCAGGGGCTGGGCCAGGGGAGGTGGGAACTGTCCCTGTAGAGACATAGGGAAAAAGGAACATGGTTGAATTTCTCTGGAGATTCTTCAACATCCATTCCCCAGCTCTAGGATGTCTAAATCAGCACTACATCTCTCATCATCCCTGAGAAGCCAGCAAGCCCCTGCTCCCCGCCCAGGGCCTCCGAGCCTTTAGGGGCAACGGTTCAAGGCCCTCCCCGGTTGCCCCCCGGGCGTCAAGGCTTTTTTTGGGGGCGCTTTTTTTCTTCCCAGGCGCTTTTCCCCTTTTTGCGGGGGGCAGGGGGCTCCGCCCATTCCGGCTCCCTCCGGGGGGGGGGGGGGGGGGGTGAAGGGGTGTAGAGGGGAGAGAAGTCATCAGAACACAAGCTGGGGACGGGGATTTGGGCACCCTCCTCGCCGTCCCGCACGGAAAAACTGGCACACTGATGTCGCCTGAGAACTCCAAGACCCATCTAAGGTTTCGGGTGCAGCGCCCGCCTCCGCTGTTTCCTTCCTTTTGCTCCGCACTTTCCCCTCTGAGCCAACTTTCCACCAGCGTCGTGGAAACTGGGGACGGGGGGAGGAGGATGTCCCTCTGCGCATCCCCCCACGACTTCCGTGAAAAATTCCCCCCTCCAGGCCTCCCAGTCCTGAGGCTTCGGGGGTGGTCGGGCATCACAGCCTGGACACAGGTTCCCAACCTCTCTCTTCCCAAGAAGCTGCCCTGATGCTCTCCTGGGGTAACCATCAGCCATAGTCCCCTAGGACCTAGCTCATCGGAGATGCAGGGGCCGACCCGCCCCACCTCGGGCTCGGAGTCCGCGAGCCTAGCAGCCCCTTCCCAGGACCCGGGAGCCCCCGTTCCCGACGCCTCGCCGGCACGACCCAGGAGGTCCGCACCCTCCCGAGTTCCAGCGGAGAAAGTTAAAGGCGCGGGGGGGGGGGAGGGGAGCCAGACCCGGAAGCAGCTCGCGGGCGACGCTCTGACGCGCGACGCGCTGACGCCACGCGCACACGCAAGGAACCTTCCGCTTCCTCCTCCCCGCAGCTGCGCCCAGGTGTCGCTCGGGGGCGGGGCGGGCGGCCGAGCTTGGCGCTCGCGGAATCCCCACGCGCGGGGAATTCCCGTTCAGCCACGGCGCTGGGACGGAGCGGTGGGGAGGGCGACTCGGGAGCCCCAGGCGGGGGGCGGAGGCCTCTCCCGCAGACCCTGCGGCCGGCCCGACCTTGCCCACCGAGACCGGTGGCTGAATTTAAACCACACGCCCCAGGCGCTCAGTGCCGCCAGGATTTCCAGGGAAGGGATCCGCCGCCAGCCCTCTCCCAGGCCCGGGGTCCGGCTCGCCGCCCTCTCACCGCCCCTCACCCCCACCCAGCAGTCCTGACCCCAGTCTCACTCACCCCCACCCGCAGTCCTG